TCTGAGGGCGGCTTTTCTGAGTGCGGGAGAAAAGTAGCTAAGTCGTTACGTAATTGGCTGAGAATTAGGGAAACTTGTGTTTCTGCTTGTTAACAGGGAGTTGTACTAATCGGCGGTGTTACGTAGTCATATGAAATAGAGAGGAAAAGCGGATTTTCTGGTTTGAAAGCGTCGGTGCTGGAGTGGTTTCACGGAGGCTTATGGAGCGTTGTTTGGGTCCTGAGGACTTTCCAGAGACCTACTTATGTTTAATGAGGGCAGGATCTGCTGTGCTGGCTGTTAGTGTGTCTAGTGCCTCAAATTCCCCACTTACCGTGAGGAGGAAGGAGCTGGAATATATCTTTGGTTTCTGCTTTTACGGTGTTTTTGCTTTGTGTCCTCGAGTGGTGCCTGCTGTGGTGACAAGCTGCAGTGTCACGCTCCGAGGGCTGGGTTCACAAGAGAAATCACTTTAGGGGTAGTTGAGTAGCTCTCTCTAACAGGAAAACTAAAAAAAAACCCAAGGAACACTAACGTTTGGTCAAAGATCTTAAAAGGAATCTTAACACAGTATTATAAACATTATGACCCTAGAAAATTCTCTGCTGTTGAATCATTTCAGGAGTCAGTGACACATGTCTTCAGTAGTTTGCTGATATTTAGGAATGTGTTTGCAGAAAGCATACTTGAGACTGTGCTCTGGTGGCACTGAAAGCTTCCAGAATAGTTTGAGCAGTGCCCTCCTCCCTTTGGTGAAGGCTGTCTTGGTGGCATCAAGTGAAAATTGGTCACTCAAGTGTCCCCTCCTTGCTGTGTGGCTTTGTGAAGGAGTAGGGAGCACCGGGAGACCTCTAGGGCTGCATCATGCTGTAGGTTATTTGCTTTGCAGATGTGCGTTCATCCCTCACTATTAAGTTTTTCATGTGGACAGAGTCATAACCTACGATGAAACTGAATTTTTAAGGATGTTCTTGGAATTTTTACAAGTATTGTTTCTTTTGGTATAAATTCTAGCACTGCAGTCCTTCCTGTGTTCTTACGGGGCGTGTGGATACTGGCCACTTTGAGGAATTTAATTTCTGTCAGTAATGACTGATGACTTCAATATTATTTCAGTTTTGTTTAATTAGATAATTGTCTTACGAAATTAGTGACTGGAGAGAGTTCCCAAGTGATACATCTCTGATGGCAGAATTAGATCTGCAGCATACATACCTTTTTTTTTCAACTCCCTAGGAACTTGTTTTAGAGTAGCTTTTGGCTGACTTCAGTGTAATCTTACAAGAAGAATCTGTCAGTGGGAGAAGTTATGGATCATTGAGTTAGTCTGGTATTCAAGGTCACTTTCCAGCTCTTCCACATACATTGTGTGTCACTGTGAGCAGGCAGTTGTCTGGGAGATAAAAATATGGCACTAATAGTGGGTGTATTGGTGGGATTCACTGTTTACGTATCAGTGTTTATAGGGTACTTATAAAACCCTAAGATGGATAGAAAATTAATAGCTTATTATTTTTTAAGTCTGACATGTAACAAGACAGACAGTAAAGTGAATGCCTTTTTAGAAGTCCCGATATTGAGATTACCAATTTATAAAAAAGCAATAGATGAGTCCTGTGGTACACGAATGTTTCTGACAGCACTGGAGAGGAGCAGTAGGTTTGTTTGGTTTTTGTCAGAACCACATATTTGTATGTTTGGGAGCTGGAGATTATATTTCCACTAGCCTACAGCTGGAGGCACATGATCGATTCAAATCAACAGTAAGTTCTTTTCAATCTTGAGCTTATAGAATTAACCACATTAAATCTATTATGAAGAAACAATTCACTGTGTGAGGTAGGATGTGACTGCAGCTTTTGTAACAACCCCTCGAGTGTGGCGGTAATGCTACAGTTTTTTTCAGCGTTGCTGCGTCTACATTTGTCCTTCGGCGTTAGAAGCAATGCTGAATTTCACACGAGTGAAAACGATCTGGAAGACCCTTAGCCATCCATTTCTTTTATACTTAGGATTTTAATGGGCTAGTCCTGCAGAGTGTAGTTATTCTCTTCTTTTGAGCAAATGGCATCCGTCAGTAGTGAAGATGGATTTCAAGATTCAGCAGCCCTCTCCCTAAACGATTTAGAAAGCCTGCACAACTTCCGCAGCCGATCTGCAAGTTTCAGCAGCACAGGGTCCAGTGGCCGCTTGCAGCTCCGTCAACGAGTAGCCCAGCTGATGGCTTGTGTAGAGGACATCAGTTCCGATGATGAAATCCATGAAGAAGTGTCTCGCACTCTAGATGAAGCTTTCCTTATCTGGGGGAAAAAGCTGAAGGACAAGTGGCAAGAATTCAGGTTTTGTTCCCTGTAGTTGATTGGTTTTGTGTTTGGTTTTTTTTTCTTAATGCTAGCTAATATATAGATTTCTGATTGATGAAAAGTGACAGAAAAATCTTTGTTTCTTGTAGATAGAAATTTTGCTGGGTTACCTGTTCATATTTCAGTTTTATAATTTGTTTTGTGATTTTTGTTTGCTTGTAGACTACACTTAGTTACCTGGAACGTCGGCACAGCTTCTCCACCTCCTGATGTCACTAGTTTACTTCAGCTCGATTCACTGGGCCCAACTATGGATATGTATGTTATAGGGTAAGCATATGTTAAAGAATTCGCTGTGTAAATTTATTGCAAAACTGCTAAGTCTCAACAGCTTACTGTCTGTTTTGGGAGGACTATGCTATGTGAATCACTGCCTAGGAGGTGGTTTAACGTTATTGCTAACAGAAGGTGAAGACTACAGTCGGTGACTTAGAGCAGAGATGATTTATAGTAGGAGAATATTCTCTCCTTTCTACTGTTTTGTGACAAAATATAGAATATATTTTTTCTAGACACACAAGAAGTTCTCAGCTACTGTTTTCTCTGTTTGCACGTAGAGGCATATTAATTTTGACATGAAAGTTATCCAAAATTCAGCATGTTTTAAAGAAATTAGTACAAGCTTATTAGGCACAATCTGCCATCCTGTTTTCCAAACTTTCTTTACATTTTGAAGACCTGACATGTTATTTGTCATAACATATCTTGAGTCTAGCATTGTCTTAAACTCTGTCTTCAGGTGTATATAAGCTCCTTTAACTTTGCTTTTCTCAGTGGTAGATGTGTTAGAGCTGTGGATGGGTTAAAGTGCTTGTAAATGAGAAACTGAACAGCAAGAAATTTCTGGCTTATGGTGAGAGAGGTCTGTTAGGATATTGTGGTCTGTGTCCCGAAATGGTTATATGAATTCAATGGTGAGAGAGGTCTGTTAGGATATTGTGATCTGTGTTCCGAAATGGTTATATGAATTCTGTCAAAACCAGGTGATACAGTGTGAGTAATCTTGATGTATTCAGCTTACAGGAGGTGAACTCAAGAATCACAAATTTTCTGTCTGATATGGCATTTGATGATCCGTGGAGCATTTTTTTCATGACTGTGTTGTCTCCATTGGGATATATCAAGGTAATTGTTTACATCTCTTAAAGTGTGAAGTAAAATGTTTTCCCCAGCTCCATTCAGATTTTTTTGCCCTCAAACTCTGCATAAAAGATAACTTGATGGTGGTTTTTGCAGGTGTCAGTCATTTCCATAGGTACACTTATGTTAGAAGTGATTCTTCATCACACTTGTGTTTTCTCTTTTTGTTGATAAAGGCATTTTTAATTTTTTTCTATTAATAATTACGTCCTTAATTTTAGCAGTGAAAATTGAACGTAGCGTTTTTCATTTCTCATTTGGAATAGTTGGACAGTTTTCATGCTTTTTCGGCTCAGATGACAAACAGCAGGAAGTTGTTCAGATACACTGGTGATGTGTAAGTGCTGCAGAACCATGTGATGAATAGAAAAATATTCCTGTCGTAAGAAGAGCACATTCTGAGGAAGCAGAGTAATGAAGATTGTTTAAAATGAAATGTGATCTAAACTTACACTCAACAGCATATTTCTTGTGGCTACAATATCTTTATCTCCCTCTTGTTTGTAGAAATTTTTTTTTGCTCTGTGCAATATTGGGGAACCGTATTGTGATGCTTCTAATGTATTCTGCTTAGGTACCTGCTTTCTCTATAAGTATCCCAAGCAATGGCAGTGAATTTTGTTAATATTGGTGAGGTTTCTTTCCTTTTTTTTTTTTTTACAGCTTATTTGCAGGTGAAAATAAATTGCATGTATGTAAATCAGGGTTTTAGTGGATATATATTTTTTTCTGAGGACTTTATATTTGATGGAAGACCTAGAACACTGTATGGTAGTTTAAATTAGAAGATTTTTTGTAGTATCTGGGGCATAAGATCAGCTAAAGTACTAGCCATTTTAATGATGCAAAAAATAAACTGGAGGATATCCTCAGTTTCTCTAATGAAGAGATATTAAAAGCCTTTTGAATGTTGTATTGGTTTCCTAAATCAAGCATTATTTCTGGGTGATTTTGCTGAGATGATTGTATTATCTGTATGCTAATCAGATTCAGTAGTGCCATTCTTTTAACTGTAATTAAACAAAACAAAGGACCCATTGGGAGTTATAAAAAGAAAAAAAAAAATCGTTCATTCTAATGTAAGTCATTGCTGATAAACATTCAAAATCTAGCTGTGGGCTGACATTCAGGCCCTGTGTACAGACAGTTCAAGAGAATTCCTGGTGGTATGCATGGTTGATTTTGAATTCTAATTTATAAATGCGGCACTGGGGACACACTAATGAATGGATGCTGCCACCTAATGGCTGTCAGCAGGAGCTGATTAGCTCTAATAATAAGAGGAGGCTGTCAGGCCAGGTCAAAATCAAAACAGGCAGTGAGGAGAGCTTGTGGTAGGACTTGTCTGGGAAGTAGGCTGAAGATAAGAGGAACAGTTACCCCTTCTTTGCTGACCTGTGACAAGGTTGGATGTGGAGGGGTAGTTGTCATCCGTGGGGCTTCTGTCCCTTCAATAGTGGTCCATTTTCAGGGTGTTAAGCTGGTCGGAGTCAGTCAATTCACTATAAACAGAATCATGTCCCCTCTATGAAAGGTCTTTGCTTTATTTGGTACTGTGTATTGGTGGGACTAGTGCTAGTTCCAGCAGAGGAGGGATGTTTTGATGTTCAAGACCTACAGAGAGAAGAGGTTTAATATGGATCTTGAGAGATGGCTGGGGACTTGCCCACAGAAGAATTAAATGTAGCAAATAATAAAGAGACTGAAAGATCTTGCCATCTCATGAACGTAATTGTGGAAAGCAGAATACTGGTTACACCCAAGTGTCTGATCAGGTACAGATATTTATGGATCATCTAGTCTGCCATAAGAATGTATTCTTCACAATACTGAAGCACGTCTGCATTTACTGTGGCACAGTACTGAAAACAGGTTTGGCAAATGAATTGCGTGACTTCTGCTATGGTGTTCTTCACCTAGAATCTCCTGTAAGGTAGACCCAAGGAATTCTGAATACCTCCCTGGAAATGACCATGCCCTCTTTTGGATCTCTTCCAGCTCTCCTCTGTTCGCATGCAGGGTTTACTGCTTCTGATCTTTGTGAAGCATGTCCACCTTCCTTTCATACGGGATATCCACACCCACTACACACGCACGGGCCTGTATGGATACTGGGTAAGGAAGTGGCTGAGACTCGATTGCCTTGGTTACTTATGGTGATGGTGGGGTGTGCCTCCACATGGTTTCATGGTGGGAGAGAGGATACACGGTTTACATAAGAATGAATAAACTGACAAGCAGTGAGACTCACTTGTTCAAACCTTAGATGTAAGTGTGCAGCACAGACCATAATTTTGCCAGTTTATTAACAGATATACAACAACTTCTGCAGGAATAAATTATATTCATTTCAATGTAGATAGCAAGGTTTTAAAATTTATAGGTGGTGTTAATAGTTACCCTTGCAGGTGTTGACTGTAGTTTCAGAGGATGTTGTTAATCTTCCATACCAGGGGAACAAAGGAGGAGTCACCATTCGCATGTCCCTCTATGGTCATACAGTTTGTTTCATGAACTGTCACTTGCCAGCTCACATGGAGAACACAGAGCAGCGACTAGATGACTTTGAGAAAATTCTGGAAATGCAGTTTGAAGGAGAGAATATTCCAAGTACCTTAGATCATGAGTGAGTTGCTCAGACCCTATTCTGTCTGTATCGTTTTTGTCTGTTATATGGTAAATTAATGCACTGAAGAATTTTTGGTTTTGGAATTTTCTTCCATCCTTTTTATTTTAAACGTCTTTTCAGCCTTGACCCTGAATCCTGGAAGGAAAATATAACCTGAAAGATGAAAGTCTGTTTTGCAAGACTGTTCTCATCCAGTCTTAAATTACATTAAATTTATTAGCATATGTACTGCACATGTTATGTGCTGGAGAGCTTTAGAAGCTAAAGGCCATTTATATCAAAAATCCTTTAGATCACTCTTAAATGTTTATCTTTCTCCCTTTTTTGAGAAGATTTGTGTTATGTTTTGGGCTGGTTTTATTCCTGCTATAATTTTAATATCTGGCTATGGGCTTCTCAGCCTTTAAAGCCTTGATTGATGACTTCTGTAGCTATATGAATTACACTTCCCTCAGGTGTCTCACAAAAAACCCCCAAACAAAACAAACCTGATTTGGGACACTAATTGAGCTGTTGTTCCTTAATTCTGCAGGAATTATTTGTATGGCCCATTGTTTTTGTGTGCTGGAGTCTAACGATGGTAATAGAACCACTTAAAGGGTTGTGAAAAAGTCTTAGTTTCGTAATTTTTTGTATATATATATAAATATATATATATGTATACACACACACCTATAAAACTCCCAGACAGATAAATTTGTATAAATATGTAATATCACTTTAATTGTTAATGAGTTCATTAAAATTAGGTAAAAATGTGTGATACATGAGTTTCAAAATTATTACTTTTCCTACCTTAGTATAGTGTTTGATATTTCAATGTAATCTCTTTGGTTTTCTTGATTATGTGCATAGGCATGCACCAAATCACCTACTGTCGTCTTCTAAGCAGAAATTACAAGTGTCATTAAAGTAAAAGTTTTGTTTCTATAGTA